GTGTGGGTAGCTGGGGTGTAGTGTGGGTATCTGGGGTGTAGTGTGGGTAGCTGGGGTGTAGTGGGGGTAGCTGGGGTGTAGTGTGGGTAGCTGGGGTGGAGTGTGGGTGGCTGGGGTGTAGTGTGGGGGGCTGGGGTGTAGGGTTTGGGGGGGCTGGGGTGTAGGGGAAGGGTGTGGGGAACTGGGGGCAGGTGGTAGGGGGTGGGGAGTGTGTGTTAGGGGGCTGGGGAGCTGTGGGGGGTGGGGTGTATTGTTTTTGTGTTGGGGGGCTGGGGAAGGTTTTGTGTAGGGGGGCTGTGGGTGGGGCTGGCGTCGGGGTGTAGGGGTGGGGGGGATGTAGGGTGGAGGGCTGGGTGTAAGGAGGGCTAGGGTGTTCTAGGGGGGCTAGGGTGTAGGGGGGGCTCTGTAGGGTGTAGGGGGGCTGGGGAAGGGGTGTAGGGGGGGGCTAGGGTGTAGTGAGAGGGGGCTGAATTAAGACCATGAGAGAGAGACACAGTACTCGTTCTCAAAAGATTAAACACCAACAACTATACCACAGTAACAACGACCACCTGCACCGTAACGACCACGACAACAACCCTTCACCACTGAACCAAGAACCACCCCTACTTAATCAATTCGAGCCTAGGGCAAGGCATCCTATCTTATCAAGACCCATTACCAAGCAGGAGATAACAACCCAAGCTATCGAACAAGATTGTAACCCCCCCCCACACCCCCCCCCCTCAACTGCCTACCACTCCACCTGTTAAATTAGTCCCCATAGGCCTATTCAATGCCCTTAACAACCCCCCCCCCCCCCCTCCCCCTACAGGACACACAACTAACAGACAAAAATTACAAGCAGCAGACCCCAATGTTAGCAGACCTCAATGTTAGCAAGACCACAACAAGATAACTCACCTCACCTCGACTGCTGTAATGTTACATATTTGTAATGTAACCTGCCTGTAACCCCGTTAAAAACAACTGTACCCTCAGCCTAATCTCTCTCTCTCTCTCTCTCTCTCTCTCTCTCTCTCTCTCTCTCTCTCTCTCTCTCTCTCTCTCTCTCTCTCTCTCTCTCTCTCTCTCTCTCTCTCTCTCTCCCTCCCTCTCTCCCTCCCTCTCTCCTCCCTCTCTCCCTCTCTCTCTCCTCTCTCTCTCTCTCTCTCTCTCTCTCTCTCTCCTCTCTCTCTCTCTCTCTCTCTCTCTCTCTCTCTCTCTCTCATACCATCTCCCACATCCTTCTCACTAGGTCTGAATCGTATTTAAATCCCATTATTGATTTTCTGATTGAATATCAGTTATACCAGCGTGCAGCCACTACAAGCTGATTGTTCCCGTCACTTGCTTAGCTTCCCTCATCAGAACAGCCAACGGCTGCAGGCACGCCTGTTCAGCTGTTCATTGTTCAAGTTGTGTTCAAGACTCATTAACGCCCCAGCAGGGGCCCAGGAGCTAGCATCTACATGAAGGATTGACTTCCACTGAGTAGATCCTTCGTTGGTGGGTGTGTACTCACCTAGTTGTGGTTGAGGGGGTTGAGCTCTGGCTCTTTGGCCCCGCCTCTCAGCTGTCAATCAACTGAAATATGAGTGCGTGCGGGTGAATGTTAGTTATCCATTTATAGTGTGGATGACAGACAGACAGACACACATACACATGAAATGGACAGGGAGAAAGATCTAGAGGTTGATATCACACCAAACCTGTCACCTGAAGCCCACATCAAAAGGATAACATCGGCGGCGTATGCAAGGCTGGCTAACTATCAGAACAGCGTTCAGGAACCTGTGTAAGGAATCATTCAGAACCTTGTATACCACATATGTAAGCCCAATCCTGGAGTATGCAGACCCAGCATGGAGCCCGTACCTTGTCAAGCATCGGCGAAGCGTAAAAAGTCAAGGGTATGCCACTAGACTAGTCCCAGAACTAAGAGGCATGAGTTACGAGGAAAAAGCTGCGGGAACTGCACCTTACGACACTGGAGAAGACGAAAGCTCGGGGGAACATGATCACCACATACAAAACTCTCAGGAGAATTGACAGGGTAGACAAGGATAGATAACACGCTTGGAACGCGAACAAGGGGACACAGGTGGAAACTGAGTACCCAAATGAGCCACAGGGACGTAAGAAAGAACTTTTTCAGTGTCAGAGTAGTTAACGGATGGAATGCATTAGGCAGTGATGTGGTGGAGGCTGACTCCATACACAATTTCAAGTGTAGATATGATATAGCCCAGTAGGCTCAGGAACCTGTACACCAGTTGATTGACGGTTGAGAGGCGGGACCAAAGAGCCAGAGCTCAACCCCTACAAGCACAAATAGGTGAGTACAAATAGGTGAGTACACACATAGGTGACACACACACACACACACACACACACACACACACACACAAACACACACAAAACACCACACACACACACACACACACACACACCACACACACACACACACACACACACACACACACACACACACACACACACACACACACACACACACACACACACACACATTTCTAAACATTTACTCTCCATCTTATATAATAATCCCCCCCCTCCTCTCTTTAATAAAAATATGTTCCTCTACCCCCCCTCCCCCCCCTATCCGGCCCCATATACCCCCCCAACACAGCATCACCCCCATCAATCAATACGTGTTGGAATGCAGATTACAGCCCCCCCCCCCCCACAATCAGAAAACAATCAGAACAATCAAGCCCGGAATGCCCCAGAGCAGGAGCCCAGGAGCTAGACCAAACATCTGGGACGGATGTCTATCCCAACCTCCCCCTCTCCCGGGGTGCCAACGGCTGGGGGCACCTCTGGGGGTGCCAGGAGCCCCCCAGAGCCGCAAGGGAGCCGGTGGCTGAGCGGTCAGAACACTGGACACGTGATCCTGTGGTCCTGGGTTCGATCCCAGGCGCCGGCGAGAAACAATGGGCAGAGTTTCTTTCCCCCTGATGCCCGCCTGTTCACCTAGCAGTAAATAGGTACCTGAGAGTTAGTCAGCTGTCACGGGCTGCTTCCTGGGGTATGGAGGCCTGGTCGAGGACCGGGCCGCGGGGACACTTAAAGCCCTGAAATTATCTCAAGATAACCTCAAGATAACCTACGGGGTCCGAACATACCTGGCTAGCCTAGCCTAGCCTACCCTAGCTCCAGGTGGCTAGGGGATAGATAGAGCGATTAAAAGCAACAAGACCCAAGCGACGCCTGGTTACGACCCAATGATTAATATCAGGAGAGGCTAGGTGCTTCCTGGAGGGGGGGGGAGGGAGGGAGGGTGAAGGGAGGGAACAGGACAAAAGGGAAAGAGAGAGAGAGCGCGCAAGGGTCGATAAAGGGGCGGTAAATATTGTTTAATTTATGAATGCATGGATGGAATAGATGGGAGAGAGAGAGAGAGAGAGAGAGGAAACAGCAGGTAATCAAACATATTATCAAAGATTCACACAGTCATAACTTGTCACCCCGGTCTTAGACGTCTCAGAAGATGTCACCTTCTGACGTCCACAGACGTCCACAGACGTCACCCGCCCCCGGTCTTAGACGTCTCAGAAGATGTCACCTTCTGACGTCCACAGACGTCCACAGACGTCACCCGCCCCCGGTCTTAGACGTCTCAGAAGATATCACGTTCTGTCGTCCACAGACGTCCGGTTGACGTCCACAGACGTCCGGATGACGTCCACAGACGTCCGGTTGACGTCCACAGACGTCCGGATGACGTCCACAGACGTCCGGTTGACGTCCACAGACGTCCGGATGACGTCCACAGACGTCCACAGACGTCCACAAACGTCCAGAGACATCCGGGTGACGTCCAGACGTCCCCAGACAGGTATTTCTGTTACATGTGATATTTGTTTACTGTTGGTGGTGGGGGACGAGGGAGTCGCCCCTCTCTCTCTTTCTCTCTTGTCTCTCTGGATGTCTCCTATTATCCTTCCTTCCTCTGACCCCCTACACAAGAGCCTCTATAAACAAGGGGAAGGGTTTATAAACACCTTGTAAACAATAGACACGTGCGAGCTGTGTCTGCGAGCTCCAGTCTGTTCTCAAAACACTACTTCTCTACACAACACTAAACTCCTACATCCAGCCCCCTCTCTCTCTCTCACTTCTATCTACCCTCATCCTCTCTACACTACACACACCCTCACACACACACAACACACACACACACACACACACCACACACACACACACACACACACACACACACACACACACACACACAGTTTCAAGTGTAGATATGACAAGAGCCCAGTAGGCTCAGTAACCTGTACACCAGTTGATTGACGGTTGAGAGGCAGGACTAAAGAGCCCGAGCTCAACCCCCGCAAGCACAAATAGGTGAGTACACACACACACACACACACACACACACACACACACACACACACACACACACACACACACACACACACACACACACACTCAGTGTCAGAGTAGTAGACAAATGGAATGCATCAGGCAGTGATGTGGTGGAGGCTGACTCCATACACAGTTTCAAGTGTAGATACGATAGAGCCCAGTAGGCTCAGGAACCTGTACACCTGTTGATTGACAGTTGAATGGCGGGACCAGAGAGCCAGAGCTCAACCCCCGCCAGCACAACTAGGTGAGAACAAGGAGACCAGGGAAGGGCTAGCAACTATCAAGCCAAGAAAGAGCAACAACCAAAGCTATGTAGGAATTGGAGGAAATCATTGCCACAGGCCCGGGAGGGATTCGAACCAGCATTCTGGGTGGTCCTAGTCAGCTGCACCTTAAGCCACGGGCCACATGATCCTCATCCACAGGCACCGGAATTGAAGTCAGTCCATTGAAACACAAGTAACTACCAAACATTGTGATATAAAGAATGTCTTGCGATTACCTTTCAGGGTTCAATGTCCCCGCGGCCCGGTCGCTCGACCAGGCCTCCTGGTTGATGGACTGGTCAACCAGGCTGTTGGACGCAGCTGCTCGCAGCCTGATGTATGAATTATAGCCTGATAATGGAGGCAGGTGAGGCACTCACAAGGTGAGGCACTCACAAGGTGAGACACTCACAAGGTGAGGCACTCACAAGGTGAGACACTCACAAGGTGAGACACTCACAAGGTGAGACACTCACAAAGTGAGACACTCACAAGGCGAGACACTCACAAGGTGAGACACTCACAAGGTGAAGCACTCACAAGGTGAGGCACTTACAAGATGAGACACTTATACCTGTAACTTGTCTCCTGTCAGTCAGAAGACCTCCATGACGACAAAGTCCAGCTCTGCCCCCACTGCAGAAGTGGTTGGGCCACTTTGCTACACACACACACGGCCATGAACTTAACGACCTTTGTACCCACTGCCAAAGGGGGGAAGGAGTAGTAGGGGAGGGGGAGAGGGAGACCTCAGAGTGTTAGAGTTGATAGCTATCCATTTTTCAACCTGTCTACTCTGTTTGGCCAGGGCCATCACTTCATGGACTCGAAATGGGCTGTTAACCTTCAACCTCCCTCTCCCCCCCCCCTCACTGTTTATATACAGTTAGGCCCAGGAGGCCTAGCTATATAAACAGAGGAGAGAGGTCTTAAGACAACGAAACCAGTGCATCTTAGACGCTATACTAACATGTCAAGAGACCACAATCCTAAAGTTACTAATTCACACCATAACGGATCAACTTCCTCGATTGCAATAATCCCACTCCATCGTTAAGCGGGGATCCAGGAAGCGGTACAAGCTTCACAGCTTCTTCAAAGATGATTGAAGTACCAATGTGTAGAAATTACCAATATGTAGTGATGGACCACCAGAAAGTACCAATATGTAGTGATGGACCACCAGAAAGTACCAATATGTAGTGATGGACCACCAGAAAGTACCAATATGTAGTGATGGACCACCAGAAAGTACCAATATGTAGCGATGAACCACCAGAAAGTACCCATATGTAGTGATGGACCACCAGAAAGTACCAATATGTGGTGATGAACCACCAGAAAGTACCAATATGTAGCGATGAACCACCAGAAAGTACCAATATGTAGCGATGAACCACCAGAAAGTACCCATATGTAGTGATGGACCACCAGAAAGTACCAATATGTGGTGATGAACCACCAGAAAGTACCCATATGTAGTGATGGACCACCAGAAAGTACCAATATGTGGTGATGAACCACCAGAAAGTACCCATATGTAGTGATGGACCACCAGAAAGTACCAATATGTGGTGATGGACCACCAGAAAGTACCAATATGTAGTGATGGACCCCCAGAAAGTACCAATATGTAGTGATGGACCACCAGAAAGTACCCATATGTAGTGATGGACCACAAGAAAGTACCAATATGTGGTGATGGACCACCAGAAAGTACCAATATGTGGTGATGGACCACCAGAAAGTACCAATATGTAGTGATGGACCACCAGAAAGTACCAATATGTAGTGATGGACCACCAGAAAGTACCAATACGCAGTGATGGACCACCATAAAGTCCCATATGTAGTGATGGACCACCAGAAAGTACCAATATGTAGCGATGAACCACCAGAAAGTACCCATATGTAGTGATGGACCACCAGAAAGTACCAATATGTAGCGATGAACCACCAGAAAGTACCCATATGTAGTGATGGACCACCAGAAAGTACCAATATGTGGTGATGGACCACCAGAAAGTACCAATATGTAGTGATGGACCCCCAGAAAGTACCAATATGTAGTGATGGACCACCAGAAAGTACCAATATGAGTGATGGATTGCCAGAAAGTACCAATATGTAGTGATGGACCACCAGAAAGTACCAATATGTAGTGATGGACCACCAGAAAGTATCAATATATATACATATAGTGATGGGCCACTACATATTGGTGCTTTTTGGTGGTCCATCACTACATATTGGAACTTTTTGGTGGTCCATCACTACATATTGGTACTTTCTGGTGGTCCATCGCTACATATTCGTACTTTCTGGTGGTCCATCGCTACATATTCGTACTTTCTGGTGGTCCATCACTACATATTGGTACTTTCTGGTGGTCCATCGCTACATATTCGTACTTTCTGGTGGTCCATCGCTACATATTCGTACTTTCTGGTGGTCCATCGCTACATATTGGTACTTTCTGGTAGTCCATCACTACATATTGGTACTTTCTGGTGGTCCATCACTACATAATAGTACTTTCTGGTGGTCCATAACTACATATTGGTACTTTCTGGTGGTCCATCACTACATATTGGTACTTTCTGGGGGTTCATCAATACATATTGGTACTTTCTGGTGGTCCATCAATACATATTGGTACTTTCTGGTGGTCCATCACTACATAATAGTACTCTGTACCAAATAGTTACAATCATTACTTCCATTTCAGAAGGATTGGTCGCCATCTTAGGCGTAGTATAGTAGAATAGTACTAGAATAGTACATATAGGTACTATTCTAGGCCTTGAAAACAAATTCTTGATAGGACAAAATTATACCAGAACCAAGCTCAGCTCAGCGAAAATAAGAGATCATACGTTGTAGATTCTAGACTCTAGCTCCTGGGCTCCCATTAGCAGTCCCTCAGAGCCCAGGGGCCAGATTCAAGAAGCCGTTACGCAAGCACTTACGAACCTGTCCATCTTTTCTCAATCTTTGGCGGCTTTGTTTACAATTATTAAACAGTTAATGAGCTCCCAAGCACCAGGAGGCTGTTTATAACAATAACAACAGTTGATTGGCAAGTTTTCATGCATGTAAACTGTTTAATAAATGTAACCAAAGCCGTCAAAGATTGAGGAAAGATGTACACGTTCGTAAGTACTTGCGTAACTGCTTCGTGAATCTGGCCCCATGTTCGTAAGTGCTTGAGTAACTGCTTCGTAAATCTGGCCCCAGGTTCGTAAAGTGTTTGAGTAACTGCTTCGTGAATCTGGCCCCAGGTTCGTAAGTGCTTGAGTAACTGCTTCGTGAATCTGGCCCTTAGGAAGACAAAAGTCTCCCACGCCATTAAGTCCACAAAAACCGACTTATCTCCCAGGGATGAAATTTCACTTTGAGTGCTAATTAAGAACAACATAAAACTGAATTTGCATATGTTTACAATTTGAAGTTTTTGGGGTAAACTGGTATGACTTTCTCTCTGATTTCATCCCCCCTCCCCCCCCTACCCTTTATGCTGCCTTCAGCATTCTTTCATGCTTCCTTCAGCATTCTTTCATGCTTCCTTCAGCATTCTTTCATGCTTCCTTCAGCATTCTTTCATGCTGATTTCAGCATTCTTTCATGCTACCTTCAGCATTCTTTCATGCTACCTTCAGCATTCTTTCATGCTACCTTCAGCATTCTTTCATGCTTCCTTCAGCATTCTTTCATGCTTCCTTCAGCATTCTTTCATGCTACCTTCAGCATTCTTTCATGCTACCTTCAGCATTCTTTCATGCTACCTTCAGCATTCGTTCATGCTACCTTCAGCATTCTTTCATGCTACCTTCAGCATTCTTTCATGCTTCCTTCAGCATTCTTTCATGCTTCCTTCAGCATTCTTTCATGCTACCTTCAGCATTCTTTCATGCTTCCTTCAGCATTCTTTCATGCTGCCTTCAGCATCCTTCACACAGTACCACTACCACAGCTGGTGGCATAAGATGACAACAGCCTGTTGATCCACCAGGCTGTTGCTTGGAGCGGCCCGCAGGCCCACATACCCACCACAGCCCGGTTGGTCCGCCACTCTTTGCAAGAAAACTGTCCAATTTTTTCTCTTAAAGACTTCCCTGTTGCAGGTTGTAGAATGGTTGTGGGGTTGTAGAATGATTGTGGGGGTTGTAGAATGGTTGTGGGGTTGTAGAATGGTTGTGGGGTTGTAGAATGGTTGTGGGGTTGTAGAATGGTTGTGGGGGTTGGAGAATGGTTGTGGGGTTGGAGAATGGTTGTGGGGGTTGTAGAATGTTTGTGGGGTTGTAGAATGGTTGTGGGGGTTGGAGAATGGTTGTGGGGGTTGGAGAATGGTTGTGGGGTTGGAGAATGGTTGTGGGGTTGTAGAATGATTGTGGGGGTTGTAGAATGGTTGTGGGGTTGTAGAATGGTTGTGGGGGTTGGAGAATGGTTGTGGGGGTTGGAGAATGGTTGTGGGGTTGGAGAATGGTTGTGGGGGGTTGTAGAATGGTTGTGGGGGTTGTAGCATGGTTGTGGGGGTTGTAGAATGGTTGTTGGGGGTTGTAGCCTGGTTGTGTGGCTTGTAGCCTGGTTGTGTGGCTTGTAGCCTGGTTGTGTGGCTTGTAGCCTGGTTGTGTGGCTTGTAGCCTGGTTGTGTGGCTTGTAGCCTGGTTGTGGGGGTTGTAGAATGGTTGTGGGGGTTGTAGAAAGGTTGTTGGGGGTTGTAGAATGGTTGTGGGGGTTGTAGAATGGTTGTGGGGGGTTGTAGAATGGTTGTTGGGGGTTGTAGCATGGTTGTGGGGGTTGTAGAATGGTTGTGGGGGTTGTAGAATGGTTGTGGGGGTTGTAGCATGGTTGTGGGGGTTGTAGAATGGTTGTGGGGGTTGTAGCATGGTTGTGGGGGTTGTAGAATGGTTGTAGGGGTTGTAGCATGGTTGTGGGGGTTGTAGAATGGTTTGTGGGGGTTGTAGAATGGTTGTGGGGGTTGTAGAATGGTTGTGGGGGTTGTAGAATGGTTGTGGGGGTTGTAGAATGGTTGTGGGGGTTGTAGCATGGTTGTGGGGGTTGTAGAATGGTTGTGGGGGTTGTAGCATGGTTGTGGGGGTTGTAGAATGGTTGTGGGGGGTTGTAGAATGGTTGTGGGGGTTGTAGAATGGTTGTGGGGGGTGGTAGAATGGGTGTGGGGGTTGTAGAATGGTTGTGGGGGTTGTAGAATGGTTGTGGGGGTTGTAGAATGGTTGTGGGGTTGTAGAATGTTGTGGGGGTTGTAGAATGGTTGTGGGGTTGTAGAATGGTTGTGGGGGTTGTAGAATGGTTGTGGGGGTTGTAGAATGGTTGTGGGGGGTTGTAGCATGGTTGTAGGGGTTGTAG